ACTCTTCAGTACCCGATATCGCTGCTTAAAACTGGTCATGAATGAATCTGATGACTTCCTGACCCACGTCGGCGTTGTTAACCGTGAGTGCGAACGGTTCAAGCTCAGATCCCTCACTGAAGACCAATTCAAGTCCCTAGTACTCATATGCAGTCTTCAGTCACCCAAATTCTCCGACATCAGAACTCGGTTGCTCAACCGCCTTGAACAAGATCCAACACTGACACTTAATGCGATCATAGACGAATACCAGCGCATCATCAATCTGCAGCGTGACACCACTTTGGTTCAATCTGGGAGCCAGGGTGGTTCCGAAGTTCATGCTGTTCAGCACCAGAAAAAATCTTCGAGATCGACAAACTCGAGTCCTTCGAACGCCAACGCTGTTTCTATCTCTAATCACTCTAAACCGGTTCAGAAGAAGCCCCCCTCGCCATGTTGGCACTGTGGAGCCTGGCATTATGTGAAGTTCTGTCCATTCAAACAGCATGTGTGCGATCGCTGTCAGAAAGTTGGTCACAAAAGCGGCTTTTGCAAATCCAACCGATTCAATAACCGTCGAAATGCACAGACGCAGCGTCGTTTTCACAAAAAGCCGATTACCTCATCAAGGAGTTTAGCAGCAGTCTTCCATACCCATGCCGCGACTCGACGCAAATTTCTGACCCTCTCAATCAATGGTCAGCCTGTTCATTTGCAGTTGGACACTGCATCAGATATCACCATTTTGTCGAAAAAGACTTGGCGAACCTTGGGTCAACCTCCCATCAAACCATCCTCTCAAACAGCCGTCAGTGCTTGTGGGGGTCATCTCCGCCTTCATGGTGAACTCTGTTGCTGTATTTCATTTAGAGGTACAACCTTCAATGGGACATGTTACATCACCAATTCTCCGCTCAACCTTTTAGGTTTAGATTGGTTCGAAGAACTTGGTCTCGCTGATCTTCCTATTAGCGCTATCTGCAATCAAGTCCAAACTACTGCTTCTACACAACAGCATGCTGAAGACCTTCAAAAACGATTTATTGAATTATTTAAGCCTGGTCTCGGACTTTGTTCCACAACTGAAGCTGTTTTAAAACTGCAGTCAGAAGCTACACCAGTTTTTCGCCCAAAGCGTCCAGTCCCATACGCATCTTTACCTCTGGTTGACGCTGAACTTCAACGTTTGGAAACTGAGGGTGTCCTAGTACCTGTTTCTTATTCAGCATGGGCTGCACCAATTGTGGTTGTAAAAAAATCCAATGGCTCCATTCGCATCTGTGCGGACTTTTCCACAGGACTCAACGCGGCTCTACAACAGCATCACTATCCGCTGCCGATCCCAGATGACTTATTTACTATTTTAAATGGTGGTACCTATTTTGCTAAGCTGGATCTGGCAGATGCTTATCTTCAAATTCCAGTCGCTCTAGAATCCAGAGAGTTGTTGACAATCAACACTCACCGAGGACTTTTTCAGTATACCCGGTTACCCTTCGGTATCAAAACTGCTCCAGCGATCTTCCAGCAGATCATGGACACTATTCTGGCAGATGTTCCTGGTGTTGCTACATACCTTGACGATGTGCTCATTGTCGGCTCAACTGTTGATGAATTGCATACCAGAACCCACTTAGTTCTGCAACGCCTCCAGGATAATGGTTTTCGCCTTCGCCCAGAAAAATGCCAATTCTTCTTACGTTTCGTTAAGTACCTGGGGTTTATCTTTGATGCTTCCGGACGACACTCTGATCCTCAAAATACTTACGCAATCCAACAAATGCCTGCTCCCACTGATGTCTCCTCACTCCGATCATTTTTGGGGATGATTAGCTACTATTCAGCATTTCTTCCGTCACTGCATGACGTACGATATCCATTAAATCGTCTGCTAGAAAAGAATGCTACTTGGAATTGGTCAACGCAATGTGAGTCAGCCTTTTCAAAACTTAAAGCTATGCTAAGTTCCAATCTTCTGCTAACCCACTACAATCCGAAACTACCCATTGTGGTTGCTGCTGACGCTTCAACACATAAACTGGGTGCCGTAATCTCACATGTCTTTCCCGACGGGTCAGAGAAGGCGGTGATGCACGCTTCGAGAACACTAACACCTGCTGAGAAACGCTACGGCCAGATAGAGAAGGAAGCGTTAGCCCTAATTTTTGCTGTCCGGCGATTCCACAAATTCATTTATGGGCGCCGTTTCACCTTGCTCACAGACCACAAACCTTTGTTATCAATCTTTGGATCAAAGAAAGGCATTCCTGCCCATTCTGCTAATCGTCTTCAACGTTGGGCGTTGGCGTTATTGGGGTACGACTTCGACATCCAGTATCGACGTTCCGAAGATTTTGGTCAAGCGGATGCACTGTCCAGACTTATCAGTAACCATTCTACCACTGATGAGGACACACTCATAGCCATAGTATCAACCGAAGAGGATTCCGGTGCTACACTGTTGGCGAATGCCGTTCGAGCAATGCCTGTTACCGCTGAAGATGTTCGGGAAGCTACCAGAGAAGACCCGATTATCCAAGAAGCGATCACCTATGTTCAGAGCAGATGGCCAGTTAAGCAGCTGAGTGGTGATATGCAACAGCTAGCAAATCGTCGCAGCGCTCTCTGTATTGTTAACAATTATCTGATGTTTGGTGATCGCGTAGTAATTCCAACAACCCTACGTTCCAAAGTCCTACGCCAATTCCACTCTGGACACCCAGGGATAAACCGTATGAAATCCATCGCTCGAAGCTATGCATATTGGCCAAATATGGACAAACAGATTGTCGACTTCGTCAAAAGATGTTCACATTGCCAAAAAGCTGCGAAAAATCCTCCTAAGTTGCCTCCAGTGCCCTGGCCGAAGTCAGAAAAACCCTGGTCGCGAGTGCATATTGATTTCACCGGACCCCTAGACGGTACCACATATCTGATACTGGTTGACTCATACTCCAAATGGCCGGAGATATTGCCGATTGCGCCACCCTCTACAACTCGAACCATCAAATTCCTTAATCGGATTTCGCTCAGCATGGTCTTCCAGAAACAATAGTAACAGACAATGGTTCACAATTCACATCTAGCCAATTCCGAGAATTTTGCCTGCAAAATTCGATCAACCACGTTCGTTCTCCGCCATATCACCCGCAATCTAATGGACAAGCTGAAAGGTTCGTTGATACATTTAAACGAGCCATGCTTAAAGCACGAGGGGAGGGGACCACAGAAGATATCATAGAACGATTTCTAGTTGCGTACCGGACGACCCCGCATGACTTATTGCCAAACTCCAAATCCCCTGCTGAGATGCTTATGGGGCGAAAACTACGGACAGTTCATGGTGCGATGAAACCCAAGCAAGTGGCCCGGCAAAGCCCCCAGATGAAGAATACTCGAATTCCCTACGAAGTTGGCACAAAAGTGTATGCGCGAGATTATAGACACGGATGCGATAGATGGGTAGAGGGTGAAATCACACAAAAACATGGGAACGTCATGTATGATGTCAAGGTGAACCAAGAAATCTGGACCAGCCACCACAATCAACTCAGGTCAAGGGAAGCGAAGGAGAAAGAAGCAATTACAAAACACGTCCCACTCGACTTGCTGTTGGACACGTTTCAACTTCCGCCAATACCTCCAACAGAGACGACTAAGTCATCTACTCAAGTAGAACATCCTTCTGGTTCTGTGTTGTTGCCTCGGAGGTCGGATCGCAAAAGAAGACACCCAAAGAAACTTCAAGTAAACCCTCGGTTACGTCGCTATTAACTTTTCCAAAGGGGAGGTGTTGGGATACTCAGAAGAATATCCCAAAAACAATTATCCGGTTAAGTCTAACGCTACCCTTGAACGTTAAATGGTGTCATTTCCCTATTGGTCGTTTCCCTACTGATCAATATTTATTTCGCGTGTCATTTTCCTATTGGTCAATATTATTGAACGTGTCATCTTTCTGTTGGTCAATATTTATAGTAATCCTAACTGTATAAATATGCATTTGTTTGTAAATCATTATTCTGCTGCTCCTGACCCCATAAACGATTTTTCATCTACGGTTCGTGTTCTGATATATTGGAGATTGGGAACAGTATTGGGGTCGAACTGGGATATCTGAAGCTTGTCAATTGGTAGAATTAGAGTAGCCAACTCGCGATCCACAATAGATCGGCAGTAACTCTAGAAGAGCTATAGGCGGATAAAGATAACTAGTGTGGCAGCAGATTCTGTATCAGTAGGCCTCGACATACACAAAGGAAAAAGCAAGATCCTCAAATTCAACACAAAAAACATCAACCCAATCACACTTGATTGCGAAGCTGTGGAAGATGTGGAATCGTCCACGTACGTGGGAAGCATCATCGATGAACAGGGAGGATCGGATGCAGAAGTAAAGACGAGAATCGGTAAAGCAAAGACAGCATTCCTACACTTGAAGAACATATGGAACTCAAAACAATTGTCTCTCAACCAATATCGAAGTCACAATCCTCAATAAAAACGTCAACATAGTTAGTTCTACTGTACAGAGTTGAAACTCGGACAACTATTACAACCATCATCAAGAACGTACAAGTATCTATACATAGTTGTCTACGTAAGATACTCAACATCCATTGACCGGATACCATCATCAACAACCCACTGTGAAAGAGAACAAACCAGATTCCAGTTGAATAGAAGATTAGGAAAATACGATGGGAATGGATAGGATATACATTATGCAAATCATCAAACTACATCATGAAGCAAGACCTAACTTGGAATCCTGAAAGGAAGCGGAAAAGAGGAAGGCCAAAGAACACATTACGTCAGAAAATAGAATTAGATATGAAAAAGGACGAATAACAACTGTAAAAAGCTTGAAAGGATCACCCAGGAGAAAGTTGGATAGAGAGTGCTGGTAGTTGGCCTATGCTCCTTCAGACGTAAGTAAGTAATACATATATTAGATTGAATAGCCAAAGTAAACCAAAAAACAAAACAACATATTATTAAAAACAATATTCACTTACCACATAATGCAATTGTTATTCTTGGACCTAAATCACGTATTGGATTAATTGATGTACCAGCATTCATTGATAAGGATGTAATTCGTCCAGATGTAAATAGAATTATATAAATTAATCGATAATTTTTGTGTATTTTATCATTTCTTTCATCTCTTATTAATAAAATAAATATTGTTGTCATAATAGTTAATAATAAACGATCAATAAAACATATTAAATGTGATCCATTAGGTGTTATTATAAATTGATTTAATATAATCAATTTTATGTTGTCATGGCTACTAATATAATTATAATAATATATATAATATATCATTAAACTTGATAATAATGAACTAATTAATTGTATAATTGTTAATGGAATTACATAATGAAATGACAATTTATTAATCAATGCTAATGATAATGTAATCGATGGATTCATTAAACTATTATAACCTAATGGATGAGTTATAATTTGTGATAATAATAATGCAATAGACCAACCAATTGATATATTAATATAATATAAATTATATTTTAATGTATTATGTATCATACTACTTAATCCAATTGTAATTAATATAAATGTACCAATAAATTCACTAAGACAAGCATTTAATAAATGTTTATTATCAATAAAAGAAAATTTATGTTTTATTTTATATAATAAATAGATATAGTTGTCATGGAGATTAATGTTATACATTTTCATGAGTGAATAAAAATTGTACTACAGGTGTTATACGAATTATTATTATTATTATTAATTATATTAAAAAATCATGTGGGGGTGTTCTTAATTTCTTTTTGGTGATAATTGGTTTATTTATAATAGATTTGTGTCAATATTTATTCCACTGAATCAATAAATGTGTAATATATATTATGTAATTCAAGGACTGTTATGTGATTGGTTTGTAGTGGCATTAGACCATAACCACACAATCTTCAAAGCTGAACACAAGACTACTCGGAAAATAGATATTCAATATTTAACGCGAAGAAATACCTAACGATGGAAAAGGCGGGAACAGTTAATTGGATGAATTGGAGTTGACTGGATGGCATGGCCCGGCCATGCAGGCGTGGTCCTTGCGGAATGTTACCTTATATCTTCTATTCATATTAAATGTATTGTTCCTTCTCTAGCCTAACCTTGTTCTACATCATGTATTGATAATCGATACGATACAGTGAGTTGGTGTAGTCGATGGAGTGACTTCCGCGTAAGATCTTATAGATTAGGCAGTTATACCATGACAAATCTACAATTTTAGGATTAGGTCTATTATTAGAGCAGTACTAATATTATAGTAGACCATAATTCTACAGGTTCGTTTGTAGGTATAATTTTAGTGTTCTTTTTTAATGGTTACGGTAATGGTTAGTTAGTTAGTTACGCCTGTTACTCCTTGTGGAGGATCATAGGTCAACCATCAGCACTCCCCATCCAACTCTATCTTGCGCAATCCTTCCCATCTCTTCCCAGTTGTTATTCATCCTTTTTCATATATACTTCTATTTTCCGACGTAATGTGTTCTTTGGCTTTACTCTTTTCCACTTCCACTCAGGATTCCATGTTACGGAATTCTGTCATGTATGTCCCATCCATTCCCATTGTATTTTCCTAATCTTCTATTCAACTGGAACCTGGTTTGTTCTCTTTCACAGTGGGTTGTTGATGATGGTATCCGGTCAATGGATGTTGAGTATCTTGAGTAGACAACTATTTATAGATACTTGTACGTTCTTGATGATGGTTGCAATAGTTGTCCGAGTTTCAGCTCTGTACAGTAGAACTAACTATGTTGACGTTCGTATTGAGGATTGTGACTTTGATATTGGTTGAGAGACAGTTGTTTTGAGTTCCATATTTTCTTCAATTTTAAGGATGCGTCGGTTAACGATTGTTGGTGCCTAATAACTATTACTGTCTATCCTGTAGATAACCTATTAATGATGTTCATTCCTCATCTACAACAGATACAAAAGTTTGTTTTTTCTACATCTTAAAGTATGAAGATGGATGCATCAGGAAAATGAACGTAACTTCATGCCGAGGGTGCAGTGTGTTGGTTCTATCTCTCGTAATGCCCTCACATGGCCAGGTACATACAACCACCGCCACGGAATTCCTACTTACTGCCTTCTCGCACCACAGGTGTTGTTTACGAAATTAAGAGGACGAAAATTGAATGTCCAGTGCTTTAACCGGGTCAGTGGGTACGGAGGATCCGCTTAGAAGAGTTCGAAAACCCTGATTTCAAACTAGTGAAGTAAAATAGCTCCAGGATCCTGAGAGAACAAATGGCATATGAAAAGATTGTTCGTCTTCGGCTACCATGGGACTGTATCTTCCTAAGATGCTCCACTGCCTTGTGGATTAGACCTTTAGGTCAAAGGCTCTGAGTGTGGCCCCCTAAGAAATCCACCCGGTTCGGTGGTTACTATAATAATCTGCATAGAATCCAAGGGATAAATATTCAAAAACGAACATTTATTTATATAAATTGGAATTCCTATTGCAGTCGACGAGAACACAAATGGTAACAATCAAATGTATTTGAATACAAAACTGCAGAACAGCTTATTAAAATCTGAGAATCATACAGTGAATACTTCATTTGCAAAATGTCAACCAATCGTCTCAGACTTTATTGTTTCTTTGTTCCTCCAGCAATCATTCCCTGTCCTGGTTCTCTTTTCACTGATCTTCTTAACCTTATGTTGCCATATGTTTCACCTTCGATTAATTCCAGAAGTTAATGTATGCAGATGAATAAATCAAGAAAATGAAAGTGACTTCATGGTCATGGGGTGTATATAAATCGAAAATACTGTTTATGCAACCATATGAAAACAACATGTATATCACCGATCATATAATAGTTTATTTAATTAAGTAAAACACAATTCGTCCCTTAGGAGACAGTGGATTGATAAAAACCTGCCTACCTGAATATCTGGGCTACGTGTTCTTGCTACCTGGACATTTCAACAAGTTATCTTTTTTATTTGTTTTAACACATCAGTATGCTTATTAGTCTCGTGACCTATTCAGTCGAGATTATAAAAAGTTTACCACCTTTCGGTGTAAAGTTACAAAAGAGCCTAATCAGATACACCGTAGTTGCTGGCAATATTCAGAGGAAAGAATGTACATTAACTTAATATTTATTAACTGGACTGCTAACATCTAACTGGATATCACTCAATCTTTATCGTCAATAGTATTTTGTTGTAATATTCGCTAAGGTTAGGGTTGAGTCATTACTAAGTCTAAGGTTTAGGTTAAGAATACAGTGTAGATTTAGTATTGGAATTAGAATAACAAATGATATCGGCTAAAATTAAAAGTTTCGGTGTATAAAAACTGATCTTATATCCTAACCCTGATCTTTTACAGTTAAGGATGTATAATCAGCCTAATAATTTCAATAGTCAAGTGCGAGCAATATCATATAAACACCTACAACTAGTTCAAATAACTAGTTTCCGAAGTTCTAGTAAGAATCCGTGACCAGTGGATTTCAACCGCGTCCAGCGTGAAGACGCTACCCACTGAAGACAATGACATATGGTCACATAATATCGTTGACCGGATATCATCAGCAACAGCCTACTGTGGAAGAGATTAAACTAACTTCTAGACGAGGAGTAAATTAGGGAAAGACGCTAGAAGTGGGTGAGACATACATTTCGGAAGTCATGGAACTGCATCATGAGGCGAGTCCTAACTTGGAATCTTGAAGGAAAACGGACATGTGGAAGGGCAAAGGACACTCTGTGCCTGGAATTGGAAGCAAACATGAAAAATTGAGTAGAAGTTAGTGAAGGAGTGCCTAGGAAATGCTGGCAGGTGGCCTCTGCTCCTTCATGATGGGTAACAGGCGTAAGTAAGTATAAGTAAAATAGTCACAATTATTTTGCAATATTTTTCGCCAAACATTTTATATGAAGAAAAGTTTTCAGAGGGAATATTGTTTTATCAACTTGTTTCATAACTAGTTGTTATTCGACATTTTTCCACAACACTTCAATATATCTCAAGTAATGTCAAGTTTCGCCAGATAATATTAGTATTTTAAGTAAAAAGAGGAAATTTAAACGAAAAAATGTAACCGTCCATTAGTAACATATCGCTACTTAGTAATCCATAGAATCAAATGTGGTGTATTTGAAGACTTTTAACAGTATGACTGTATTAATCTAACATCTACAGCGTATAAAGAGTGGAATAGGCCATAATGTTTACGGTTTCATCGACAATATTGTCCGAAAATGAAATTAAAGTCGCGTCTTAAGATAAATTATAACACATCATAAAACACCGTACCATAAATCCTAAAAAAACATAATGACTTAGATAAGCAAATCAATAAATAATTATTTTTGTAGGAAAGTCGTAAAAGGTTTGAATATATCAGCGAGATCATAGCAGAATTATGTTATATTTGGTAAAGCTGAAACAAAATAGTGGTTGGAGGTGGTCGACAGAAAACTCTCAACTCTATTTCCATGCTATTTGGCACCCGTCAGTAAGGTGTACCTGTACTGTGTCACCCGGCTTCACAATCAGAGACGATACCAACTTGGTCGTTAGGATTCGACCTACACTAACAAGGACTTGACACATATGATACTGATCACCACACAGTAATCAATCAATTGTAAATAAATCTCACTCTTACAGAAGGTCAGCCACGGCCTCGATAGCCCATTGGTAACGGCTCTGACTGTAAAGCTGACTGACACAGGATCGAACTCGTCAGGTTGCATCAGTTCCATCAAGATTACAAGTACATCTTACTAACGAGTGCTAAGTAGCAAGAAACCTAGGTCACCCAGAGTTTCGTGTTGACTACCTCCAACCATCATATCATCTCAACATAATGCACGAAATTTCGAGTCACCTAAACTAGTGACCACACTATAACTTGGTTGATCCTCACTAAGAAGGACCTGGCATACATAATATTGATCACCATCCAGTGATCAACCAATTGTGAGCAGAGTTATTATTATTAGTATTACTGTCATATATATATATATATATATATATATATATATATATATATATATGTATATATATATATATTGTAATGAAGTCAATAAAATAAACTTTTACAGATTCACACATAAAGAGTAAACGTTGATTACATGATTCCATCTTGAAAAAAAACAAAACAATGTGGAATAGAATAGTGTATTGTATGCACATGTACCCACCTACAGTTTGGATCAATATATACAACCATTCAAAAAAAGGTAAGTAAATGTTAAAAACGATTAGAGTCGAGCATACTATAATCATCATTATCATCATCATCATCATAAGAGTAATTATGTCAAATAATAATGAATCAATCTATCAAATACGTTATAATGCATTTATTAAACAATTAACAAATTATATTAATTTAACTAAATGGCCATTATTATGTAATTGTATTAATGAATTTATTGGTACAACAATATTTATTATATTTGGTTTAGGTGTTATGATTCAAACAAATATTCATTCAATAAATGATAAAAATATTGGACAATATTTATCTATATCAACGGGTTGGGGTATAGCTAAAATTATTGGTTTATTAATATCAACTAATAGTTGTGGTGGTGGTGGTGGTGGTGGTAATGGTGATGGTGATGGTGACAATCATGATAGTAGTAGCCATGGTAATCAATCAGGTTTATTAAATCCATCGATTACATTTGCATATTGTTTAATTGGTAAATTATCATTTCGTTATCTTATCCCATATAGTATAGTACAATTATTAGGATCAATATTTGGTACATTTATTATCATTTGTATTTATTGGGAAAATATACAATTATATGCTAAATTATATTCCTATGGTAAATTAGAAATGAATTATACTGGTTCATTATTAGTCAATATACCTAATGTATCTCATCAATTATGTTTATTAGATTATATTATATCCAATACAATCTATTCATGGATTATATTAATCATTAATAATAATCATAATTTATCATATGAATTCCAATTAATTTATATTGGATTATTATTCACTGGTATTATTGGATCATTATCATTAAATATTGGTATTGGATTAAATCCAGCTAGTGATTTAGGTGCAAGAATAACAATATCATTATGTGGTAAATGATTGATTATGTAATATGTATATATTTCTTTTACTATACAGATATATATGTTTCTATGGTGAGATGATCTTTGTGTGTGACGTTGAAATGATCTTGAGGATATCCATCTGGAAACTAGGACTGAATAATGATTATAAATCAGTTTGTTGAAGAATAAGGATTATGATTTATAATGGATGATTAGGATTATTTAGCCAAGTGGATCAATCCAAGAAATGTTATTTTATATTTGTTAAGCACTTCCACACATTGTAGTCTTGTTAGTTGAGACTATAATTTACGGACGACATTTAAGTGATGCTAAAACGACATTGAGGATATTCATATACTAACTAAGATTAGATAACGATTATAACCCAATTTAAGAAATTAGAATAATGATGATTAAGGTTAAGGATTAGATTTAGGGTCTTCATCACGAGTTGAAATCAGCTATAATGCTAAAATGATATTTAACCAAGTGGATGAATGAATTTTATGCCAAAATCGAAGATCTGTTATTTTATATCTGACTGATTCGTCCATAAATTACAGTCTTGCCATTTATTTTATAGTTAAGAGTGAAATTCAGGATGTGTATTACGTGATATTTGAAATTTGTTAATTGGATGATCTTATATCCGAGTGTTACTATTCACAATGAGATTGGAACTCAATGTGTTAAGCTTCAAACTTTGATGTTGTTCATGCCCTGAAACTAATCCAATGTAGTTTTAAATATTATACTTATTATGCAAATTAGTTGCTATTTGGATTCAGTAGTTTAATGAATAAAGCGTTTGGTATTTGATGCAAAAAACATTGGACTCTAGTTTTGATGTAAACATTAACACTGCAATGTTAGTATATCCGTCTGAAGATTCCTCAATATAAAGAAAAGAGAGCTCAAATAAACCGAAGCATCTAAATGAGTTTCATCTGTTAGATAATATTAATTACGTTGTGTAAAGTTTACTAATGATGGCTAGAAGTGTAGTATGAGTGGGGATATTATCGAAATGAACTACATCACATCTTCAATTGAAATATGAAAGCAATTAGATTGATATTGTTATTTTCATGTTAACTGTATACTCGTCATATCCAATATAGCTTAAACTCTTCGGGTCTATTTGTCAGAATTGTTGATTAGTTAGTGATATTTCAGTATCATTAGTTTTTTAATTAAAGTCCTCGGTGCTTGGATATAGTAAACAAGAAACCCTGGTTGACATAGATTTTTCACCAGCTAGAGCTCGTTAGTATGGTGTGCTTCCAACCTTAGAGGGACTGTCGTTTCTTGTATGATTCATGCCCACCTTACTCAATTTCACAGTCTAAGATATTACCACTGAACTATTTGGATTCTAACTGAATTCCTACAAGACTAAGGTGTATTTACAACTGATGTCATTTTAAGCAAAGATGGATAGTGGCTATCAGTGCAATCCACGACGCGCGTTTCGTCCTGTTGAAAAGATACAAGTAATACAACACCAAGTGAATTTAAACTTCACCCCACTGCATAAGCAGGTGGGTGTCAGCATTCAATAGCTAAGTAGATAACCGATGATGTTTGAAGCGAAAGGTACTTGGTTCGAGTCCCACAGTGGACATCAACTCTGAGATGCAGGTATATCCAGCTGACGAGTCCCAAAGAGGACAAAACGCGTGTCAAACTAGATTCCACTGCTAGCCACTATCGATCTTTACTTAAAAATCTTGTGACTTAAGACTATATCGAGGTAATTAGCGCAAGATGCACATATGCCAACAAGGGATTGATCAATTATAGTCCTAAATAACAATGGGAAGATACAAGTAAAACAACACCACATTTTATTTTATATTTACTAAACAATTTAGTTTGAATTTGATTTGTTATGGTTTCTTTCCCAGATTCATTAACACCTTTCTTTTCTTTCTGTTGTTTTTCTTTCTTTTTTGCCTCGATTTCATTGCCATGGTAACTCATCTTCCCCCCCCCCACGAAAAAAGGTTGGGGTATTCAAGCATTCAAAGCAAATAATTATTATTTTTGGTTACCATTAATTGGACCATATATAGGAGCAATAATTGGTTCATTATTTTATGGATTTATTATTAGTTTACATATAATACCATCATCTGATATTGATCAATATAAAATACAAAATAATCAGTGTACAATAATTAATTCAACTAGTAACTATTTACAAAGTAGTTTCATTGAAGAAATGAATGAAGATTTATTTAATATAACAGAAATTGATGATTGTTTTATAGATAGTGAAGAGACCATAGATTAAATATCCATTCACGACTATCTTTGTATTACATAATCATCATCACCATCATCATCATAATCACCATGGTGATATTTCAAAATATCCCGCATTTTTTAAAATCATTCAGTCAATTTTATCAATATAACTTCATATATGATGGAAATAATCTTGTAGGATTTTCAAATAATAAAAGTTGCCTAATTGGAAATCTTTCTTTTTCTTATATTTGAATAACATGATATTGAAATGATTTCAGTCTGTAGAGTAATATTTATGAAATAATGAGAAACTAATGCAGTCATCAGTAATAAGGATAATAGGTTGATGAACCTGTGTTAATCCTGACTGATTGCCTTTCAGGGAAGGTCCAGTTCCTCCTTAAGAAAACCTGGGAGCACTGGGCGATTGTTTCGTCCTAGTATAGGACTTATCACTGGTGGTGCGCATTCAGGATCCTGCTTGCGGGATTTGAAGCCAGGACTTTTGGTCTTGCAAGCGAACTCTTAACCTCTAGACCACTGAACTGGCTGACATCCAATAGTGTTAATGTCTAACTTCAACCAATTCACGGAGTTGTGCGACCATCTTTAATTGTCAGAGGTAGATACCTGTCTCTACCTAACACGGATTAGCTCCACCAGTCATGGCTTTTCACTGGAACTCGGAGAATTACCTCACAAAGCTAATCACTAGTGAGCACATAGTAATTATCAGTGTAGGACGAAACGACCGTTCAGTACTTCCAGGTTTAAAATTTATTGATCCATGATCTCAATCAAAAACTTAATAATCTCCACAACCCTACACTGATAATTGATTGAATGTCTTTGCGGAGAGAAGGAAACTATCCTACTAATAGCCTATAATCTCAGTGGTTGGTAAGCAGGGAGGAAAAAGACGACTTGGCAGAAAGACTGTCCTACTTGTTCGTGATTCGTACTAAGTCTAAAACGCATATGAATAAACATATGACTAATGAGGCTGGTCAAAGAACATATTACGTCGCGAAATAGATGCATATATGAAAAGGATAAATAACAACTGGAAAGAGCCGGAAAGGATTGCCCAGGACAATGTTGGATGGAGAGTGATGATGGCTGGCCTATGCTTCACCGCGAGGAGTAGCAGACGTAAGTAAGTATGTAAGTAGTGAGGCTGGGAAAGATACAATTTCGACGGAGTTTTGTCCTCTGAGCTGGATGGCTTGATCGTGGAGCTTTCATCGTTCTTCTGAGCGACATCATCAGCATATCAGACAAAGCGGAGGTCATTTTTATCTTTGCCTACATGGACATCAATTAGAGGTCAAACGCCATGACATATCCTCACTTATATCAATTCATGTGGTCACCTGTGGACACACATTCGACTGGAAAAATGTTGAGATCTTGGATAGAGGCAATCAACATTGAGTTCTACAGGACAAGCTGTGTGTAATTTCTACCTGAAGTTTGTGCAGATAATGTCGTTCAGAAGAACGTTGAAAACTCTACGACTAAACCATCCAGGTCAAAGAACAAAATTTCATCAAAATCACTCATCTGAGCTATAAATCTTCTCCACCACCTCAGAGATACAATTATTTTCCAATTAGGAAATAAGAGTAAAACAATGAAATACAAAGGTCACGTCCAACTTACAGTGATTTTTTTAATATAAACGGATATGATAGTAATTTATGAACTAAACAAAAGCCTATGATACATAGAATAAAATTGAAATTCGCTGTTTGTCACCACATATCTATTTCTTTCCTCACATTAATTCCTAACTAAACAGTTGGATTAGGCTTCTGGTATGTTTTATACAGAATTCGCTATGCAAGATGTGCATCTACAGTTGATTGATCACTGGGTGATGATCAATGTCATGTATTTCAGAACCTTCTTATTGAAGATCAAATCTGTTAGGGATGCTGAGGAATGATGCGCCAATCATTATCATGTTAAGTCTAATGATGTCCTTGGACCTTAAATGGGCATTCCCTGTTGGCCGTTATTTATTTCACTCGTTAAATATTGTACAGATGTTGTTTTCTATTTTTATGGTACGATGTGGTCTGTTTGGTTGGTATATAAACAGAGTATGTTTGAAATATAACGATTCATAACTCAGAGGCTGTGACTTGCGTTCTGGACTCAACTGGCTGGGCTAGACAGCGAAGCAGGGCGAATCGGGACTCTAGGTCGTCCGTACATGTTTTACGTGTCACTGTAATCGATCGATATAAACGCTGCTTATCAAAACCTGGAGTCACACCCATTACAACAAAATCCTATCGACCAAGTTGTAATGTGCTCACTAGTCTGGATGACTCGACATTGAGTTTACTATGTTGAGATAAGATGGTGGTTGGAGGTAGTCAACATAAAACCCTGAACCTAGGTTTTGTACTACTTAGCGCTCATCAGCAAGGTGTAGCTGTAATCTTGATGGAGCTGATGTTCCCTACTGAATTGAGTCGCGTGTCACCCAGCTTCACAGTCAGAGACGTTAACACTGGGCTATCCGGACCGTGACTGACCTTCTGTCGGAGTGAGATGTATTTACAATTGATTGATCAGTGAGTGGTGATTAATTTCAGGTCCTTCTTAGTCCAGATCGAATCCTACCGACCACATATGTAAGCGTTCAATGAAGCGAGTAAATTGATATATTGTACAAACTAATTGGTAATTCTTTTCGATTGGGTTATAGTAACGTTTGTTCGGTGATAATATCTTAATAACGGAATCAATCAATATTTATTTCAGTCACTTTGATATTACCGAAATCATAAGAACAACTTACCTTACAATAGATATCAATAGTTACCATCAATTTTGTCGGTGAGTAAATGAAGCTTAGTCTTTGCTGTATATAAAGAAAGAGATAAACTTTTTTGTTATTGTTAATGAGGCTAGTATGATCGAGCAACTTATAGTGGAAGTCATCAATTAATGAGTAGGTTTGTTGATTTGTACGCTTTGTGAAGGTTGAATCAACGACTTTTTGCTTATCTAATGTCATAATAATCTTTTGTCGATAAACTAATCGGTTTGACTGATAACAAATCACTGCGAAATGTTTGCTCCTTTAACTTCGAAGCCAGTCAAAATGAATATAAATGTCCTGTTGTTATACTGTCCTCTGCTCATCTCTATCTATCATGACTCAGAAACTCATAGGTTCATATGGATTATTTACTTTGTCAAACAGCACCACACACATTGTACGAACATTTCATGTATCTAAAGTAATGGTTACTCTAGTTGTCAGAAGGGGCATCAGCTTCGTAACTTCCGAAGAAACTCGGCTTTCACCATGAGGCGTCATAACTCTTTCAAATGAAAACCTTCTAACTCCCAGGGCAAGGTTTATATGATTTGAATTATTGTTTTTGGCTAGCGTTTTCTTAGCGAGTTAGTTTTCTACGAGATGAGGTCGTCTAATCTTACTTCTTTATATCCGGGCTTGGGGTCGACAGTAACCCCAGAAGGGCTCCAGGCGGAGTTGAGGAAAGCACCCAACTGCGTCATAAGGCAACCCCCCACTTAGAATCCGCAAAATACAATGAGAAGAGGAAAACCAAATAACACATTACTTCGAGAAAGGGAGACAGACATCAGAAGAATAACAGTTGGATGGAACTAGAAAGGAAGGCTTAGGACAG